ACAAACAAAGATTTTTCACCTGAAATGTAACTTTTTTTCTGTTTTAATGTGCATAACCACCAGGTGACTCAATACATGTTTGATTTTGCCATTGGTTGATCTGATTTGTTTCACATCCCTACATGAACTCAAATCTATAATGAGCATTTTCTTTAGATGTGCTATTTTTATTACCCAGTTTTATTAAGCAAATATTAATATTTTATCATTCTAATTGTAGCATTTATAATTTGCAGTAATCTTATAATAAAGCATAGCAATGCTTTTATTACACAATATTTTTAAAGACACCTCTAACGCTGATAAATAATTCATCTCTCTGGTTTAAATTTAAATAGTTTGTTACTGATTTTTGTTCCAGCTTTAGATACTTTTGCTTTTCCTCTTCTAATTGTCGAGGAAATATCATTATTATATTTTAAGTTCAATCAGCTGCTGCATGTAAATAACGCTTCTTTTAAAAAAAAAAAATTCTTGCCAGCACTTTTCATAACACTCCCCCAAAAAAACAACTAGCAAAAAAAAAAAACACATAACAAAACAAACAAAAAAATATACACAGACACAAATTAATTAATGAATTAATTACATGAACAAACGTAATTCTGATTTTGATTGATCACTTTTAATAAAACTTCAAAAGACCTTCAGAGGTCTCAGTTGGGTCAATATTAATTTATTATATACAGTTTACAGTCATTAAATTCTACTTCAGTGATAGAGTTCTGTTTATTAAAAGGTAAATGAACTAATTAATCTATTATTGATCAGTAAACTGACCTGGCCCATGTCATCTAGTACAAAAATAAGTTTAGTAATGTGAGTAGAAAGTACACGCCCTTTTTTCTCCATCACTATCAACTATTACGCCCCCCCCCCCCCCCCCCATTGGTACTTTATACCTGATGCATTTCAGAGTAAAACATTTATTTTTAAAGTTCCTATTGTGTTCATTTTTATTTATTTATTGCTAACATCGTTTGTGTTCATGGTCAGAAAGGATCAATACAGTATATTGAGTTGTGAATCCATGCTACAGGGCACAACACAAAATCATTCTCGTGCATTTTAAAAGCCATTTAGTAAAGTTCTCTATCTAAGGAAGTCGGCAGATTGAGCTGAATCTTCACTTTGTCACAGTCTCCCATCCTGAGCAAGAGCAAAGGCAACAGTGGAAAGGAAAAACTCCCTTTTAACAGGAAGAAACTTAAAGCCGAACCCGACTCAGGAGGAGCAGCCATCTGCTTCGACCAGCTGGGGTTGAGAGGACAGGAAGTAGAAACAAACCAACAGAATGCACCCGCTTTCACTTTTCTGGGTCACATGGGAGCTGGTGACCATCTTCAGCAGTCATTGTGCGAGAAGCTCCCTAATGATGAGGTTGTGAGCATGCCACAGGGGTAACCGTACGTGATAAAAAAAAGAGGTGCGTGTGCGCGTGCACCCAAAAAAGTACTTTTGAGCGTGTGGGAAATTAAAAATGGAGCATTTTTGACTGGTAATACATATGGTGTTACAATGTTCAAGTAACATAACAAAGAAAAAATAATGAAAATTATTAAGCTGTTTGGCTTTTTAAAAAGAGAAATACAATATGTAAATGTCATATTTGACTAAAATACAGCATAATTAATATTTGAGTTTATCTGAGTCATAGACCCATTACTGTTGTTTATGCAATCTATTGCAGATACAAAACAGAATGACAACCACAACAAAAATACTTAATTTGTTTGAATGAAATTGAGTTTGTTTTAGTTTGCAGCATTTTTGAGCTGTATTTATGACAATTTTGCACATATGAAAAACTGTGAATAGTTTCAACTTAACCCTTGTATTGTTTTTTGGAGAAAATTCAGCAACACGTTTTTTTCTGTGCTATTATTCTTTTATTTTTATTTAATTTTGGTGCAGTCAATAAACATTATTTTTTTTTCTTCCTAAAAACGCTTAAAAATCCATCCATCCATCCATCCATCCATCCATCCATCCATCCATCCATCCATTATCTTTACCCACTTCTTCCTTTTCTGATCACAGGTGTCAGTGATGCCCATGTCCAGCAGTCACTGTGCGAGAGGTGGGGTTCACTCTGGACAGGTCTCCAGTCCATCACAGGGACACATAGAGACACATGAGACAAACAACCATTCACTCTCTCACTCACACCTAGAGACAATTTAGAGTTACCAGTCAGCCTAACATGCATGTTATTTCATAACCACATTTATTAATTAGAACAACTCCAACTGCAGCAGTTCTTAACACAGCTTGAAGATGTCCTCCCTCTGCACCTGGATAGTCGTGCAGCACTGAAGGACTCTTCCAGAGCAGCAGCACCTGACTCTTTGCTCTCCTCCTCTGTCCGCCTCATCACGCCTCATATACTGTGTTGTGATTTAACCAGAAGTGTTGTGCAAGGTTTGTTGTGTTGCTACAGCTCTTTACAGATTCTCCACAAACTTTACAAACCTCTTCTTGGCTGTTTCTGGAGATGAAATAGCTCCACACATGACTCTGTTAAGCTCCACCGTTGAGTCTATAGAGAGACTGAAAGAGCACAAGCAGCGTGCCGCTCCACTTACACGCATTACGCACTTACCCAGGCAGATGAAAAAGTAGTTCCCACCAACCGCGCATCATTTAGACAAGATCTCAATAGTTTAGTTACTTTCCACCATTTTCTTGTTAATGATATGCATTATCTGAAATAACTCAAGTATCAAAAGTATTGATAGTTTGATTTAAGAATTGATTCTAGAGGGAACCGTTCTGGTATTGATAGTATTGATATTTTAGAATCGATCCACACATCACTAACTATCCATCCATCCATCCATCCATCCATTATTTTTACTCCCTTCTTCCTTTTTGGGGCATGGGTGTCACTGGTGCCCATGTCCCGCAGTCACTGTGCAAGAGGCGGGGGACACCCTGGAAAGGTCTCCAGTCCATCCCAGGGACATAGAGACAAATGAGACAACCATTCACTCTCTCACTCACACCTAGAGACAATTTAGAGTCACCATTGAGCATAGGGAAAAATCTCACTTTTTTTTTCTTCATAAAAATAAACATTCGGTGAATAAAAAATAAAAAAAGACTGAAATGTGGAGGCTGTTTAAAACAAAAGTCCTGTTAAGACTTGCATTTGAAAAAAGGACAAAGCTGATATTTTTCATTTCAGCTGAGAACGTTCTAAAAGACTGTCTTTTTGTGAGACAAACAAATTGCATGTTTAAACTGTTAAATACGTGATCGATTGTCCTCCTACGGAACATGAATGGCCATGAAGTTAAAGGACGTCTCAAGGGTTAAGCACAAACACAGCTGCATGTTCTGTGTCATTAAATAATGTATACAATGACCTTGAAGTTTAACAGTTCTAATTGAGCAGTCGTTTAAAGACGAGCAAACCTGAAATCTGACACTGTTGTCTTCTGTAAAATAAAGACTGTGTCCCTGTGGATTAGAGTGGATGAGCTAATGTCTGACTCTGGTCAGAGTGCCTGCATGTGGAGTAAGTGGGGTGTTGTGGGAAGTGACTCTTCATCAACTGGGCTGTGACAGTGGGGAGACTGAGTGTGAGGGCATGCAGGCTGCTGTCACCCTGGGGAGATTTAAAAGCTCTTCCAAGAGACAACTGCAAGCTTTTCTTCACCACACTCCCTGACATGCAAAGCTGACAATGTGGAACCTCCAGAACTGCTTGTTCAGATCTGCCCTCAGGTCTGATGGCTCAGTCATGTGTTCTCAGCCAGATGCATGAGCACAAGGACCTTTTGGAGTAAACAATTTAACTACCACACTCTGATTTAATGTTGGTTCAAAGTGCACCAAAATGTTTATCTGCCATTAATACGTTTGCAGCATATCCTTCAGGAAATGTATCTATGCTTCTTAGGACTCCTTTGATGGTAATATCTGCTTTGGTCAATAAACTCAACCATCTGTTCATGTCTTACCTGATGTCTGTTACGTCACGTTTTTTACAGGATCAATTTTTCTGCATCCAACACACTAAAACATGTGTATTTTTTACACATTTAATACACTCCTCATCTTCCTATGTGGCTAAACTACAAAATCATTAGCAGTAAATAAGCCAAATAAAATGTGTCCTTCCGGAAATTGAATTCAGAATTTGAAAAGTTTTATCAATTATTTGAAGTGACAGCATTTAGACATTGATCAGTTTTATATTATTGTCCTTGATATTTCCATTATCATTAAGGCGACAAGCTGAGAAGCAGGTCCATGTGAATTAATTTAAATTTGTGCAAGACTGGACATTGATCGTAGAGGTTTTTTACCCTTTTGAAGAAAAAAAAAACATTATGGTTGATGCAATATGTTTAGTGAATCACTTGTTTATGTTTTAGTACTGTCCTAAGGGTGTGTAGGGTGTGTGTGTGTGTGCATATGTAGGGGGGGCACCCATTGTACAAAACAAAAAGAGAAAA